AGGAAGAAAATACCCAATCTGCTTAACAGACGGACGTCTACAGTCCGTGACGTGTCCCCTCTCCATCTCCCAATCTCATCAACTACCACTTGCCACTTGGATTTTTAAATTCCTTATTAGCATCATGGGGGCCATAATTCATAATGGTGAAATATAGAGAGTTTGAAAGCCAAGACTGCTTGGGCACTGTGGCCTTATACTCACAAGATATTTACAAGTATAAGAAGACAAAATTCTGTTTATGATTTTTGGAATGTTTCCCAGATGTCTTGAAAATCAACCTGATCAGTTATTAGAAAGAAAAGCTCTAGGCAGACTTCTACAGAGACGGCTTCAGCGTTCCAGCAGTTAACTGCAGCACTGTATCACTGCTCCAAGTGAAAGAAGCAAGCAGCACCATCGTCAACAGATGCTTCACAGGAGAAGCTGCCCACGGAGAGTTCCACAGCCTTGTCTCCCCCACCCGCCTTTTAGATACAAGAGATTTCAAATTTTTTTTTCTTCCTTTTTTATTTATTTCTGAGAGAGAAAGAGACAGACTGCGAGCAGAGGAGGGGCAGAGAGAGACGCACACACGGATCCGAAGCAGGCTGCAGGCTCTGAGCTGTCAGCACAGAGCCCTACAAGGGGCTCGAGCTCGGGAATGGCAAGATCATGACCTGAGCCAAAGTCAGACGCTAAACGGACTGAGCCACCCAGGCAACCCATAAATAAGTGTTTTCAATGTCTCAACATCCAGTATATTTATGTCATGATGGATGGGAACAGTGGTCCTCAGTCTGGGGATTGTGCACAGACCATTGAAAGAAGGAAGTAGGGGGATATTATGTAGTGTCGTTTCAGAGTATATTTCCAACTGCCAGGGAAAATACGTGTTTTCCCCCAGATAGTCAAGATTACCTGAAAATATGGGTAATTTTAAAATATTAAAACAAACATGATTATACAATGGAATAGAAACAAAAATTTAAAAAAGACTTTTACTGGGCGCCGGGGTGGCTCAGTCGGTTAGGCATCCAACTTCGGCTCAGGTCATCATCTTGCAGTTTGTGGGTTCAAGCCCCGCCTCGGGCTCTGTGCTGATAGATCAGAGGATCCTGTGTCTCCCTCTCTTTCTGCCCTCCCCCACTCACAGTTTGTGTCTCTGTCTCTCAAAAATAAATAAACATTGGGGCTCCTGGGTGGCTTAGTCGGTTAAGCGTCCGACTTTCGCTTTGGTCATGATCTCGCGGTTCGTGGGTTCGTGCCCCGCTTCGGGCTCTGTGCTGACTGCCAGCTTTGAGCCTGGAGCCTGTTTCAGTCTGTGACTCTCTCTCTCTCTGACCCTCCCCTGCTCACGCTGTCTCTCTCTCTCTCTCTCTCTCTCCTAGAAATAAATAAAAATATTTAAAAAAAATAATAAATAAATAAATAAATAAACATCAATCAAACAATCAATCAATAAAAGACTTTTAGGATAGACTAACAGCCATTAACATATTTGTTGCTTTTAAGTTATAGAATTCCCCATATCCCAAGGGTACATATTCACCTCATTTCTCTTTAGGGGATGATCTCTGTAGAAAGTGTAGGAAGCATTTAAATAGAGTCTCTGTTCAGTGGTGTGAATAGTCTATTCTAGCAAGTGTTTAATTTAAGCCACAAAGTTGGTTTCTGTTTTGTTTTCATCAACAGTGCCAAGGGCATAATTCAAATACATGTTGAGAAAATGCGTAATTATTTCTCCCTTTTGTTCTCATACTCATTGTTGCCATAATCAAACAGCATTTATTAAGCCTTCACATGTATAGTTCTGATTGAAATATGTTATTTTTGTCATAAGCATTAAATAGCATCTATTGTGGATTGTCCGTAAAGAAATGGGTGATAAAAATAATCATAATTTAATTTCCAGTTAGATTAGAAATTGCTCATAGAAGAGACGAAGAAGGTAATACTGACCTTGAAGGAGAATAATATTGGGAATCCGTCCCGGTAAGGGGCCACACACGGACATCGTGGAGAAAGCACAGACGTTGAGCAAGAACACCAAAAAGAATGTGGACCCATTCAGCCTAGACAGAAGGGGGACAACTCATATCTGTTGGGTATTAGAGTTCTGGGTGCTTCCCATGCGGTGTACCACTCAATTCTTAAAACATGGGGAGCAGAGAGCAGTGGCGTTGATTGAACTCTATCCTTCCCAGGTCATCATTCCCAAAGCAACTTGCGGACTCTTGTAAAGTCGGGGACTGCACTTCCCATTGCTGTGTCTCCCCTGTGAGGCGTTGAACTGTTTTAGCAGATGTTTGACCAATATTAGTTGCACGATCGAATTTTTACACTCAAGTTCATAGAGTGAAAAGCTGTTTGTGCAAGACTCTTCCAAATTCACAACGTAAGCCTGAGCTCTTAGCCCACAAGTAATATGAATTCAATGTGTTCTCCAGCGCTGCTCTCTTTCAAATATTTCTAATTTTTTTAATAATAAGATAAAACCAAGGCCAGGAGCATTGTCTTAATATTAGAATTTCCAGCTGGTTTATTCTGATAAATGTAAGCATCTCCATTTGTAAGACCTGCAAATTATCATCTAATAAGTCAGTGGTTAGATAAGGAGGCAAAACTTAAAATTTTTAAGTGATTTTTTTCCATATTCGATTACTCTATCATAACTTTGTCACATAAATATCATGTCTAAATGCCACCTTCTTCATTAGACCTTCTCTGACCATGCCGTAGCGGTGACCCCACTGGCATTAATGGTGACATCCTATCTTTTCACTATGGTGATATCACTTAACATGTTTGAATGGAGTTACTATTCATTGATTTCATAATCAGATGAGCCACATGGCACCATGAATGTCATCCAGAATTTGCAGAGAAGGAAACTGAGAACCCAAGAGACACAGTGAGGCTTTCAAAGTTGATCATATCTAAAGGTAGCAGCAGCAATGTGCATATCTGGCCCCCACTCTGAGCTTCCACCCCTGATCACACCCCAAATCCCCCGAATTTCTCCACATTTCTGCCACTTCCCAGATCCAGTGTTAGCCCTTGCAGCATCAGGGTCCTCCGGGAAGAAGACACACCCAGCTGAGATTGTAAGAGAGTTTAATGGACTATTACTTACAATGCTGGGAAGGAAGTTACAGAAGCAACAAGGAATTGTGAGAGGCAGACGGCAGCGGGCAGCATCGCCACCGTCGGTGTGAGGTGTAAAGGGGCAAAGAGAGGAAGTGTGGTTAGGGAGCCTGAGAGAGTTAGGGGAGGGGCCTGCTCACATCTCCCTCCCCCCTCTCCCATCTGGTCACAAGGAGACTTAATCTACAAGAGAACTACGCCAACCCAACAGTGACTCCAAAGTGATTTTTATGGGGGCCCCTGGGTGGCGCAGTCAGTTAAGTGTCCAATTCTTGATTTCTGCTCAGGTCATGCTCTCACAGTTTGTGAGCTTGAGCCCTGTGTCAGGCTCCATGCTGATAGTACAGAGCCTTCTTGGGGTTCTCTGTCTCTCCTTCTCTGTGTCCCTCCCCTACTGTCCCTCTGTGTCACTGCCCCACCATCTCAAGATGAATAAATAAATGTTAAAAAATTAACTTAAAATGTTTTAAAAATAAAGTGACTTTTGTAGAAAGCAAGATTTTACTCTCATGATTTTTTTCATTTATTTTTTTTTGAAAGAGAGAGAGACAAAGCATGAGCGGGAAAGGGAAGGGAGAGAGGGAGACACAGAATCCGAAGCAGGCTCCAGGCTCTGAGCTGTCAGCACAGAGTCCAACGTGGGGCTGGAGCCCATGAACGCTGAGATCATGACGTGAGCTGAAGTCAGACAATTAACTGACTGACCCACCCAGGTGCCCTGCATGATTTTTTAATGAAGAGGTTCTACAAGTTTCATTAGCCTTTTATTACTCATTCATTTGTATTTCTCCCTGGATCCCAAGCTTTAGAACCTGCAAGGATATTTTCCAAGTCACCAAACACACCTGATGAGGAAACTGGCGTTAGGTGCATGACCTAACAAAGGACAATGAGGAATAAGACGAGACGGTCCGTGTTTCTGTGTTAGCAGACTGTCTTCTCCGGAGTCCTCCTGGGAGAGACCAGAAACATTACAAATCAAACATTACAAATCAAAAGAGATACCTCTTTTCCTTTGGGCGAAATATATACTCGGAGACGGCAGTCCACACAGGATCTAGTTTCTTTCTCTGCTCACTAAGCACAACCAATAGAGAACTGTCATTCTCGAGTTTGAAGAATAATTACTTCCCAGTCGAGAAAAAAAGGCTGGTGAAGCCCCTAGAAAGTCCATCTGAAGCCATATAGAGACATCTTCTTACTGTATGGTCAGCACTCTGATGAGCTTCTCAGTCACCATTTCTGTTTTGGACACATCTGAACTTCCAAAAACATAGGTGGAATGTTTTCCGTAAGATTCGTCTGTGAGGCCATTTTAGTCATCTACAAGGCTTATCATCTAGGCCAATCGTATCATTAAGTGGGTTCAGTTACCCCCAAACCCGACAGCATAAGCCAGGGCCCCAAATTCTACAATTGTGAACATTTTTCCTGATAATTGATGGTCACTGGTTAGGATAAAGTGTAATTTGCCAGCTCAAAACAGTTTTAGGAAAGTGTGACATTGGCTTTTGTGGCCTGAAAGTGAGTGTAGAAGAATGCAGCTTACAGGCTCTCCGTCAAAACCAGCTTTTTTTTTTTTTTTTTTTTCAGAAAAGCTTTTTTGCTTTTGTTGCCCTAGCTGAAGAATACTAGAAGTTTCAGGTCCCTAGAAAAACTTACAGAGCTCTCTGGCATCCAGAGGTTTTGACAAGACGCACTTGAGGAAAATACTGAGCCCCGAGTACATTCTTAACTCCCAAATTTCTCCATCCTCCACACCGGGGTACTTACCTGGAGCTCTCTTTTGAGGATTTACGGGCTTCTGCTTCGTTTGTCTGTCTGTTTTCAGCATAGCCCTTGGCTTCTCTGAACGTGTCCTTCCTTTCTCCCAGGTCATGGGTTTGGTTCGTCCAAGATGTCACGTGCGCAGACCTTTCCCAGCTACACCTCGGAGCAGGGCGAAGAGACGCAGCAGTCTTTGTCCCGGTCGAGCATCTACGGGTTCAGCTACAGCTCCAGCCTCATTCAATGACACTCAGAGAGCCTGCTGACCAGAGAGTCAGTCTGATGGACCTGTTTGTAGGGTCGCGCATCCTCTGCCTCCTGGAAAACCAGTTGCAGTAACATTGAAATGGGTCACGTGTAGCCCAGTCCCAGTGGAAGGTTAAACACTGGAGTTCTGCTTCCTTGACTCTGTGGCTAAGTCCTTTATTTATTGAATTTCTTGGGGGGGGGGGAATCTATGTTTTACAAAAATAGAATCCAAATTGTCCTTTAGATAAAATTCTTGGTTCTGGCAGTAGCCGAAGCCTGGGCATCATGAGAAGTTGCCCCCACTGGGTTGTCCCTGGGTGGTGGGCATTACCCCTGTCCTCATGGCTCAGCCCCCCCGCCTGATGACAGGGCCTTTCCTTTGACATAATGTCACCCACCACAAGGTATGTGGCTTGGAAGGTTTTGATGGGGACAAATCCAGCAAGGTCTACTAACGGCATCATCACTCTCCATATAAATAAGTCTGGTGACAATTAAGGGAACATGAGATGTAGAACACACTGTTAAGCAGGGCCTTGTAGCTCTACTCTGTGTGTGTGTATGTGTGTGTGCGTGTGTGTGTGCATCTGTAGACAATGTAGATATGGATATGACTCTATCCGTCTATATCTAACAAGTATATATCAAATGTGTGCTGGGGGTAACAAGTTTCGCTCACGTACATTGTTGAAAACTGTAATTTGGTGCATTAAAATTAAGATTGTTCTGTTGAATAGCGATTTTTAAAATAGTGCTGTAAAAAAAAAAAAGGCTTCTTATTAGCAAAAGTATTTACGTAGTCAAGTCTGCTCCTGTGATGAGTATAAATGGCTCTGTGAAAAAGAGGGGCCCCTGAAAACAGAGGAAGCAGACTAGCCGTCCCACATGTCATGTTACCGCGCCGTCTTTCTCGCTACTACTCCCGTGTGGTTGATAATGTTTCTCTCTCTGGCCATCCCTCTGAGTTCCATGAAGAGGTTTGGGTGTGATCGCCTACTGGCTTCCATTTAACCTCAAGAAGAGAAAGACTCTAAATGAGGAACTGTTTTTCAAGAAAGAGATACTATACATATATATATATATATGTATATATACATATATATATATATACATATATATATATATATATATGCCTAAATAGAATCAGCTATTTTACAGTCAGAAGAACCATGGGCACAGGATTGTAGATATCAATTATTTAAAATTTTATAGATGCTGTTCTCAAAGAGCCATTGGGCACTAGTAATGTACTACGTAAACAGAATTTGCTAGGCTTTACTTTCTTTCTAATGGACATGGCTTGGCTGGGATTATAAGAGAAACTGAATCAAATATAATTTTTCTCATCTCTGACATTAATGATAAACCTACAAGGTTTAAAGGGATGTGATAGCTTCCATGTGAACTGAAGAATTTGACTAATTTAATTAGTGTCAACAAAGATACTTTTGTCCTTAATTTTGAAGTTCACTCAAGTAAAAATAAAAATTATTCTACCAAGAAGTATCTGATACCACATGCCTAAAATGGTCAGCTTGTCAATTCTCCAAGGGAAGTTTAAAGAACAGGAAGCCCAGATCATGTAAGATAAAAACTTAATTTTTCTTCTTAATGGCAAAATTCTTTAAACTGTTAAAGTTGTTCTTTTGAAGAGGTACCTGTTTTGCTGACCTGTAATGAGACTTTTTTTAAAATCTCTATCCATAGCTTGAGTGCCTATTGACAACTCATTTCAGAGAATTACTATTGAATAGAAATGGTTCTGGGTCCCTCCTAGATAAATTTACACCTAGAGCAACTACCTAGACTCTCTGAATCGCTCAGATAAAAATGAAAACCCCATCAAGATCCTAATCGTAAGAGTTAATGTGCCTGTGAAAAATAATTATCTTAAGCTTTCAGGGATAAAAAGAAAATTACTCAAACTCTCTGCGCTGTGAATTTTGCTGACAGAGCAGAAAAGCAGATGGCTCCTTCCTGATGCTGATGTTAGAGCATTCCCTAAAATCCCGGCTTTCGGGCCTCCAAATCACTTACCACATGGCATTTGCTCCTGAAATGCAAATGTTAGTGAAACACATCAGAGCAACTCCCCGCTGAGGCCATTTGAGCACAGCTCCTGGTGATGCCACCCTCAGAGCAAGCCTCTCGCCCGCTCACTCAGTTGAGCTGTTGCTCAGAGAATCACAGTCACTGCATGGGGCTTGTGGGGCAAGGCCCTCCGGGGTCCTGCTTCGTGTCTCAGCCCCATTCATGTGCGGAAGCACAGACAGTGAGTCCAGGGGGGAATTCTGCTTGTCAGATGAGTCTGCTCTTGTGTCTGTTTGGCGGAAGACACAACAACACCTGCATGAAGTTGCTTCGAGAACACGATTTGCTTGTGAGCGTCACCAGTGAGCTTAACTGAGGAGATACCAAAGATCAGGCTAACCTTGGGCCAGTTCGTTCTGAAAATAATGTCATTAAAAGAGCATGTGAGAGCAATTTCCTTCCCAAGCCTTTAACCCAATCTTATCACAATGAGAATAGTGCTATACAGACTCTCCTGGTACATTTCTGGAAATTTACTCTAGCATCTATACCCCTCCATCTATACTTACCATTGTAGCTAAGTTAAAATTGCTAAATTAACAGATAGGAGAATTTATATTAGCCTCCTATACTTGACATAGGGCAGTGTGCATTGTAATACAAATGGGCAGCAGATAAGTCTTCTACAGAAGCTAAAGGTGAAAGAAAAGTTACTGTACTGTTCTCCTGGAACTTCATAAAGCCAATTTCATGGGAGCAATTAGAATGGTCGTAGACACATATTCGACTCATTGGACTCACAGGTTTTTGACTGAAGAAGGCTGTCCACTTTGTGAGTCATTTTTCTCCCTTCAGAAATTTTATTATATCTGTCCCGTAATTGGGGTTGCTACGGACTAAAGACATCATTTGGCTCCTTCTGAGAGCAACCCCATTGTGGTTCCAACCAGATTTAGGTACATGAATGAAAATGATCACAGCTTCCGTACCAGGTTGGAAGAGACCAGTGGTGAAAGAACTTGACACGAATGATAGAGGCTCTTCTGAGAGCAGAGAAAGCCCAGAGGGTCTACACAGTTCATGGAAAGATTACACAGGGGGATTTAGTTTTCGTGTCCCCAAGTTTTCTTATGAAATAGAAGAAATTATTGCACCCATGATCAACACCTGACATCGTATTTAAAGTGTGGAAAAGGACAAAATAACCTTGATCCAATAGTTGACCATACTGGTGGGGCGGGGGGAGAGGGGGGCGGGGAGGGGGAGACACATCTTTCACTTATTCACTGAATGAATAATAGGCACTCAGAACTAATTTATTTATGCAGGTTGCAAATATTTATGAATTGATAAGTTCTGGCCACTGCCACAATTTGAACTTAAAGAAATAAGAAATGTGTATTTACTTATATACTAGGGAAGATGCTGTTTGATAGAGCATGTGAAATAAAGTGAAACATATTTATAAAAAGTAAACGTCACTTTTTTCACCAAGTAGTAACTAGAGTACTAATCCTAGTATCTTGTACAATTTTCTCTGTCTTCACTGGACAATTATGTTTGAAAGTCATTTATCACCTATAAAGTGGTCAGCCACTAATACTTTCTGTCCAATATAGAAACAGTGGACTGATAAATAATGTTACACTGTTAATAGTTTTTACAGATCTAATTTATTTATTGCATGTGGTATCTTTAGAGTAGATATTAAAAACACATCATAAAAGTTGATGTTTGCCCCTCATTCTTTGGCCAATATCTCAGAAAATTTTGTAAAAAAGCATGAGTACCCTACTCCCTAGATGATTTGAGCCACTTAGTAAAATCAACCATTAATGCTCTGTGAAACAAGCTAAGCAAATTATACTCTTATAAAAACTTGTAGTCCAGTTTTGATGATTGTAACACAGCACAATAAACAGACAATGTACATTCCGTGGGGTGAGCTTTAGGCCTTTAACATGTTAGGTCTTATAACAAATATTGTGAAAACTGCTCAAAGTGAAAATGATGCACTTTTCTCCAGTTCTATTAACATATGTCAATCAATATCTTGCAATTTCAAATGACTTTGTCAATCGCTAACTCTCCTTTACCGTCCTCCAACCTTGGCCTTCTCCAAATAGATAAAAAGAGGTCACTATATTCCCATTAATAATTATAATACTAGGTGATGTGCCACACGGATAAATTCTAGCCTATGAAACGTATAGAGCGCAAGTTCCCATGGAGTGAGGAGGCCCAGGACCAGTTCAGAAGGGCAGCAACTTTGATAAAATTATAAAGACTCCAATGAAATGTCCGAAGCAACACGAAGATGCTACTTTCTTAACATTCTAACCCCAGATCCATTTCACAGACTTGGCCTTCTTTAACTAGCTTCACCCGGTCCTGAGCATGAAATTGGAGTAAGACATCAGTTGCACCGTGTTTTGAAGTGACCACAGAAAGCCAACACATAACCATCAAGTATGCTTCCTTAGGTTTAGTGAAAATTATTGAACATGAAGGAATGTGTAACAAAATCCCCATGGTAGGATGTCTCTTCCATAAGTTGAGGATCGTTTTTGTATGGCTAACCTCACTGCAGTTTTGAAATTTAAGTATGTTATCAGTGACACTGGCTGGGAGCTAAATGTCTGAAGAGAGCGACGTGTGTGCATTCTCCATGAATGTATTTGAAAGATTTACCCACCTTTTTCGCCCTGAAACTACCACAAATCCTTACTTTCTTGCTTGAGACTGTGAACCTTTGGTATATTGTTTCTATAATTATTACAACTTGTTGATGCAGTGGCTAGTTTACAGACTTTCATGGAAGTATCATGAGATGTCGGGCACATTTTCTAGATGGGCAGGATGCTAGCTGGTTTCTGGAATCAATCACGTAGAATAAAGGTCCCAGTTTACATTCTACTCAGGAGGAAATCAAAACCCATGGATATGGTCATTTATTCAAAGGCAAAGAAACAGAATAGTTTTGCCCAGTTCCAGCCTCCTGGACCAGCACTGTTTCCTTGTTGCCATCTTGTCTCCCATTTAAATATGGTGGGAGTTGAGAAATGCAACATGGCCTCTAAATACATAGGCTCTGGAACATTTTAAGTGTCTCCTCAATTTTTCCATATGTTCCTAATCCTTCTTGGACTCTTCACTAACTATGTCAACAGAGAGGCTTTATGAAGCAATTCATTAGCCTTGTAGGTCATGAATGATTGGTATAGATTCTAGGACTCTTACACTGTCACCCAGTTCTTGTTGGAGATTCACACTTATTCTAAAGTGATAGTCAAACTAAAAAAATTAATGAATTAAGTGGTATATGTTTTGTATTCCTATTAATTCATCATATTGTAATCATGATTATTATTTCAGGGATCTTTATCACTCTATAGCACGTTGGCTTAGTTACTTACAGCATTTGTTACAGTGTTGTTAGATAATAACATCGGGGCTACATTTTGTTTCATGTGAACTTCAAAAATCTTCCATTTTCAATTGAAGTTGGAATATGACATTTTTTATAATAAAATAGCTTGCATATCAAGTCTTTCTTTATACACTTCATTAAACAATTATTTATATTATCTGAAGTCTAGAGAAATGAGAACTAAGTTAAAATTAGTAAGTAATATGAAAACCACACTTTACTCATGATTTTCATACACTTTTCCCTAGTTTGAGATTTTAATATCTTATAAACATTTAAAGGAGAAGAAAAGTACATTTGTAATAGAAACATTACAACTTCCCTCTAATAATTCTGTTTAATAAGTTTGTATTTTACTTTCTCTTCTATGCCTACGACACTATATCCCCTATTCTAATTTTAAGAACAATGAATAAATTTAAATTTTTTAATAGTTATTTGGGGCTAGTTTTAGTTGTTGATACAATGAACTTTTCCATCTGTTCTCTGCTTTTAGGATGATTTTACACTTAGAGCATAAAACCAGCCCTTTTTGTGTTCACAGAAAACAGAAATCATGCCTACAGTGGAGAAAGGACTTACCCTGACCCG